GACAGATATATGGTATTTTTGTACGTCGAAAATTACATGGAATTAAAAAAAAATGTCTGTATTGAAATAAAAATAAAACGGATCCATTTCGTATAAAATATAAAATTGATATTTGAAATTTTAAGCCTATCGAAAATTACGCAGAATTTGATAAAATAAAAATATGTCTTGACATGAACAAAGGAATCCATTATGTGCGAAATATAAACGATATTTGAAATTTTAAGCCCCCACTTCGAAACCACTTACAAAGAAAATAAAAAAAATCGAATCTTCAATTTCCATCATGGAAATTTTATTCCATTAGCCTGACGTGTCTAAAACGACGATTTAAAATCAATAGCATTAGCAGTTTCCCAAATATAACGCTGTGTACATAGTCTGTACATAGTCTCGGCGTATGGGTTTTGTCTATATTTTAGTACGGATCTCTGAAATGAAACTATTCCGTCCCTTTCCATCAGCCACACCCCCCATAGGAGGAGCTTCAAAAAGATGCACTAGCACAACCTGTCAGGTATTGGGTGGTACCCCAAGACAATAATTGTACCGAGGGTGGATACCTAGGTCTGCCCTACGAGAGTCGCGCATGTCTAACTTGAGCACAAGGGGTGGGAAACGTACCTTTAAATATCCTGGTAACTGTAAAAATCTCGCTAAAGCTGCAACGACGGGCTACGAACTGGTCGTGTCTGAAACTCAGTTAAAATAGAATTTAAAATAAAAAATCTGAAGTAATATTCCATACCCGGTCAGTAAAGGGGATTCAAATTAATTCGAGTCTAAGTGATATATTTTCGATAAAACCGTACAAGTTTTCACAAGAAGGAAAGTTGATATATGGTTTTCGTCCTCTTGTTTCGTAAAAACTTCTGAAACTACTTCTAAACTTATCTTAACTATTAAATTGTTTTGTCCATTTTATTTCTAATTATTTTCTTAATTAGAAAAATAATGTGATAAAACACTGTAATATTTAAAATGGGTTTTTGGTATTTCCAGTTTTTATAAATAAAAGGACTAACCCATTACGTGAGTATGAAACTTTTTTATTTTCGTATTTCGAATTCTTTATTCGGCCAGTATTCAATTACACACATTTGTTATAGACCACTTGCACCCCTTTACTGTAAATATTCCGAGCATTTTTCTATGATGCCCAGTACATAGCCCGTCGTTGCAGAATAGTAATTTTTTTGTGGCCATTTTTTATTTTGTGACAGTACAAGTGTTCCTAATATCGTAGTGGTTAGTTTTAACTAATATTGTTTTTTATAATTTTACATGTGATTTCTTTAATAGATTGTCGTATATTTGCCCTAGCTTCGTTTCCTCACCAGAGTCGAAAGAGAATAGAGCAATTCGTTCTAGTACAGAAGGGAATCTTCGAAATTATATTATAACCGCTTTGTCGACACGGTAATAGATGGCTAATGTCTTGTTGGGTAAATCTTCATCTTGGTAGATCCTACTAAGGGATGTAAATGTATAGGAATAGGATTTCTTCGGCTTTCTATATGGTGGTATTTAATCACCGTCAAATCTGAAGACAGTTTGTTTCTGATCACCAAAACTACGCTGGTTAGTTAAATAGTTAATTTTAATATACCTTTATTAATTGTATTTTTTCATATTTTTAGTTTCAGATACTTAAGAGATGGGATGGGAGATAAAAAAATATACTCCACAGGATATTTTTTTAATTTAAAATTATAATTCGAGAATAATCCGGTTTATTCATAAGTTTGTTAAAAATAACTTTGGAATGGCGTAATTTAATCCATTTCAAATTTAATTACATGACATTTAATCTTGTAGGAGTAACTTTAATTTTTTAGCCTCCATTTCGAGCTCATAATAAAATAAAATAAATTTTGTAAAAAAAGATTAACGAAATTAATAGTTTTTTAAAATTAATAAGTTCCATTATGAATGAGTCGACGGTATCTAAAACTATTTGAAAATGTTCTTTTTATTAAAATTATAATTCGAAAATAACGCTAATAAGTTTCTTTAAAATAACTTTGGAATGGCGCAAATGAATCCCTTTCGTTTAATATCACATTTAATATTGTAGGAGTAAGTTATAAGTTTCATTATAATTGAGTCGACGGCATCTAAAAGTCAAAATAAAATATAATTAATTTTCTAAGAAAAGATCTACGAAATTAAAAGTATTTTACAAATTAATGAGTTTCATTATGAGGGAATCGACGGTACGTAAAACTATTTGAATATATTATTTTTATTAAAATTATAATTCGGAAATAACGCGGTGTTTAAAATTATTTTGCAATGGCGTAAAATAAATCCCTTTCGTTTAATATCACATTTAATCTGGTCGGAATAACTATAATTACTAGCCTCCATTTCGAGCCCGAAATAAAATAAAATAAATGTTGTAAGAAAAGATCTACGAAAATAAAAGTATTTTTTCAAGCTAGAAAATTTGATGAAATGAAATTGAATTAGTGCTAATTGGTAGTTTGTATTCACACACTTAAACTTAAAAATGTAAAGTAATAATAAAATTATTTAAAGAGCAACACGCAAGTTTCTTGCTCATTCTTCTTGTGATGAGACAGCTTTCCGAATGAGCGGTAGATTAAAAAAATGTAATGACTATTCAAAAGTGCTTCAATGTAAGTTTATTTCAATAAATAATTTTCTATTCTATTCTATTCAAATTAATATGTACCACATTATAATTGAGTCGATGGTATCTCAAAATATTATTTTTATTAATAGAAATAGAAATAATCATTATTCAAATAAACTTAATATAAGCACTTTTGAATAGTCAAGTTTTTTGATTCTACCTACCTATGCTCATTCGGAATGCAGACTCATCACAAGAAGAATGAGCAAGAAACTTGTGTGTTGCTCTATTAAAATTATATTCCAAAATAAAGGAGTTTAATAATAAATTTGTTTAAAATAACTCAGGAATGACGCAAATTAATTCCTTTCGTTTAATATCACATTTAATCTGGTAGGAGTAAGTTTAATTACTAGCCTCCATTTTGAGCCTAAAATAAAATAAATTTTATAAGAAAAGTTCAACGACAATAAAAGTATTTTTTCTAATTAATAAGCACCATTATGATTAAGTCGACGGTATCCAAAACTACTTGAAATTTTTATGAATATTAGTAATCCGTATTTTCTGAAATATAATGCGGCTGTAGTTTCTAAAATATGATATTATAATGGTGACCAACCATCGGTAAAAGTCTTACCATATGTGTTACCACATAATTTCAAAAATCAAATCGATAGCATTTCTATTTTCTGCAGTAAAACTCGGTGATTTCAATAGAGTTTTATCACAAAGGCTTCAGTTTTGGTCAGCTCAAAACTCAAAAGATTACTTAGTTTTACTGTTTTAAATGTACATAATAATCCTTGATGTAGTAGTCACAGTGATGAATATGTAGCGCTATATTCTAGATACCACGCGGAGAATTATGAGTACAAAGTATTTATTCTATATCGTTGCAAAGTATATAAATTCGTTAATTCAATATTCCATTTGCTAAAATAAAATATGATCTGTATTCATTGGAATATATCAAAATATAATTTGAGTTCGTCCCGTAGTTTTCGCGGGGAGGATTAACGAATATCAGTTTCATTTATCCCCACAAACTTTTTAATTAGTAGGTGTAACACAGTCATATCGTGTATCATAATAGTGCATATAAGTACGATTATTGTGGCAATAAACCGATTATTTTTTTCTGAAGTCAATTGGTATACTTAATTTGCGGTATAAAATAGGTAATTATCATTTATACCTTTTTAGTAATTTCGCATGCTAACTGCTAATTTCATGAGCAGGTAGAATAAAATACATTATAACGCAGAGTAGACGTTTATGACAATGTACAGTGAAATAATCTGTAGAGAGTAAATTAGGTAAGATATTTTAAAAATGAAGTTATTAGAACTAAATTTTTATACTCCATTACAGAATGGATTTTAATACTGCCCACTTATTATTGTCATCATCCTTAACAATTATAACCAACAATAACTAGAAATTAAGTTTATATCTTGTTATATTTTTACCGTGCTATATATCGTTTGTAGTTATAACGTTTTTTGTATTGAGATAAAGGTGTTATTGAAAAACTAAAGGCAACCTCTCCAGAAATAATACAGAAAATATACATGTAAAGAAAACGTGATAATTTCATCATTTAACATGCCCGTTTTTAGCTCTGTATATTTAAATCCGACATAGCAACTGGACCTACCGCCGTCTCTCGGTTTACATTTTTGTTTGTAATCATTCTCAACATTGGGGTTGAGAATGATTACAAACAAAAATATTGTAGGTAAGTTTAGTCAGGGAGTAGTATAATTAACACATAGACTTGGGCCAATGAGAAATATGACCGTTGGACTCTAAGTTAGGGTAGTTTTCCTTACAGTAGAACGCGAGATGGTATCGAGTCACTAGAATAGGATAAGCTTTAATTGCATAACACTGTTGCTAACAATTCTCATTTGAAACAAATAAAAATTTAAAATTTTCCATTTATCTACTTGCCATTTCACATTTGCAATTACGGCCGACGACACTTGCATATGCAATTCTCAAGTGGTACATAAACAATTGCAAACCAATCAATTTTAATCTGTTGCAATTGAGAGTTATTAGTTATAACGTTACAAAATGAAGCTCCGAGTCTCAGGATTGTCAGTATACAATCAATCGTGCTCGCAATCACTGCTCGTGCACTAGAAATGTTTACTGGGGCGGTAAAATAATCTTTTGGTGGGCTACAATAGTGAAGCATGGGAATAGCCAGTGCAGGGGGTAATATTCTTTTTTTTTTAACTGAAATGGTTAACTAGCTGATCGTCCACCCTACGAAGACTATGGGTGTCACTTCGTCATTTAACAACAGCCTGTATTCCTGTGGAGTAAGTAATCTTTTCGTTTTTAGGAAACAGTGTTTTATATGTATGTAATTTTGTTGTACAGACGTACAATGTCACACGCTGTCGGGAGCTTGTCCCGCGTCATCGGGATCTTCGCGTGCGGCCCGCGGAAGAGGCTCACCTTATATGTAGTGCTGATGGGGTTTGCACTCTTCTCTCTTTTCGTCTTCAGTGTCACTCACTGTAAGTACATTTTTTTTAAATTATCGCACCTCTGCTGAATAGTTGCATTGAAATAAATATATTGTAAAGGCTATTCCAAATGTGTACTAACTTACTTAGTGCCGTAGAATTGTATTCATATACAATTCTACTGCACTGACTAAGAATACATATGTGACAAGTCATATATGTATTCTTAATTAGAATAATGTATTCTAAAACTAAAGAGTAATAAATATGATTTTCATGGTTTATGATTTCTGACACTATTTGAGTGGAGATGCGTTATAATATAAAATTGCTCCAATATTTTTTGTAATTGCCATCTGATGGTAATTGGCTACCGTCGCGCACGTGTATGAAGCACCACGGACATCGGATTATTATGTGACATCCACAGAACTCAGGGACTGCCAAATTTCGAAGGATTAAGATATATCCGTACTCTGTAGTTTCACTGCCTTATCTCACTATTTAACCGAAATACACCTTACAAGGTACTTAACGGAAGAGAGACAGAGGTACAACCACGCAGATGCTGATGATGAGTTGCACTGTTTATGTATGAAATCGTTATACGTTTAATTTTTCTTGTTGTTTTCTCTAGTTGATTTGTCCTTATCTTGCGTATAATTTTCTTAATATTATAAAGAGAGAGAAAAGATAAATTTCGAATCTAGGCACGAATTTCAGAAATTATGTCGTTATTTTATAGGTACTTTCTTCCATCATGTTGTAATGTGATGTTAAATTCCTAAATATAATAAATATATGTAGGTATAGGTTTCATGTTATGTTAAATTATTAAATATAAAACAATGTTATGAGAATGTTTGTCTTCAAAATAGAACTGCACCTGCATAAAATCGTGATAGGCTGCTGGTTCGAGTGGAAATTAAACATATTACAGTGTTTAATTTTCACTCGAACTAGCAGCCTGCCTACTTAAAATAGATCTGTAACAAGTTTCAGTGTTATGAAAACGGTGGAATAAGCATGAATAAACAAGGATGCAAGTTTCAAACTAAATCACGTAACTTTGTTGCATAGTTTTCATACATTAATATTAATAATAACCTCCGGATAATTTATACATCCAGAGCTTGTTTTATTGGTACTAGAGAATTGATATCAAAATATAAATACATTTTTTTTTAAATTCATACATAATTTAAATATAAATCACCCAGACCAAGTTGAAGCCACGACTATAGGAAGTAAAACGGTGTGAACAACCGTTAGACCACCGAATTTCTTTACTTAAAATTGAGCAGTAATTACGATAGATATTACGTCATAACTATACAAAAGTGTTTATTTCGGGCAGTAATAAAATCTGTATGAAGTACAAAAAGTACGACCACGGTATCGAAAAATACGGGACAATTTTCGTTATTACACTATTACACTCCCACACGACACAATATAATATAATATTCTCTCATCATTTCCACCTGAGAGAAATCAATCCGAGTCAGTTATATATAAATCTAGTCTATTTTATTTATATCAAACTAGCTTCGTCTCGCGACTTTATCTGATTTGCAATAAAAGTTCGCCTCTCACCGTTCTCGTAATACAATCTATCCATACGTCAATTTTCATTAAGCTCCGTTCAGCATTTAGTCGTTGAAATAGTAACAAAAAAGTAGATGGACAGACACTGACACGCTTTCGCATTTATAATATTAAAAATGGATACGATATTGGCTACTGGTTTAAACTTTATTGACGGTCCATTTCAATACAACTCTATATATAGTAATCACTACGACTGATATACTCTTACTTAGTGTTTCAACCAGTTAGTTGTGTATTTTAAATTTAGACTCTATTTAACTAATTCATTGGAGTTAAAATATAAAATACATTTATATTTTAATTTACATACAGCATTAATGCTATTTGATAGTTTGTATTCATACATTTTAACTTAAAAATAAAATGTAACAACATATTTTTTAAACATCAATTTTTTGCTCGTTCTTATTGTAATGAGACTTTTTAATGAGTAGATTAAAAAAATTAAGTGCGACTATTTAAAAGTGCTTAAATATAAGTTTATTTGAATAAATAATTTTCTATTCTATTCTATTATATATACATATCGGGATGACTAATATTGTTATGATAAATATCCCATTGATATAATGTGTATAATTGCAATATAGTTGATATGATTAGCTCTTAATGGTACTAGCGATTTCGGCTACACAGACTTTCATCCCTATTTCACCCCTTAAAGTTAATAAACTATATTATTTGACATATAGAATGGCATGCGTCCGTCTCCGTGATACAGTTTATCTTCACGTAAAATCTCATTAAATACCATTCAGCTGTTTAATCGTTAAAAGGCATCAAACATGCACTAAACCACACATTCGCATTTATAACATTAGTATCAGTAATCATGGTAAATATACAGTTTATATGATAATATATATACATGTACATATATCATATATGTATATATGTTATATTATATATTATTATTATTATCTAAAATACTACATGTATATGTTGCCATTGTGTACGATGTTTGTGAAGAGCAATAAATAAGATTTTTATTATTATATACCTACTAATTTTATCCATAATACAAATCCAAAAGTTGTCTGTCTTTTACTCTTAGTTTAAACTAGCTGTACCCGCGACTTCGCATGGAATTTAACTTTATATTTATAAAATAAAAGAATTTTTCTAAGATAAAAGTAACCTAATTTACTTCTTATTACATCAGCTACCTGCCAATAAAAGTCCCGTCAAAATCGGTACAGCCATTTCAGAGATTAGCCGGAACAAACAGACAGACAGACAGACGACAATTGTGAAAATTGTTATTTTGGAGTATGTACCGCATTTATATTCATATGCATGCAGTAAAAATGGTTATTTCAATATTTCAAACAGACACAATTTTATGTATATGTATAGTATTATGTATATGACCTAATATGTTATCACGCAGACGTACATCCGTTTTCTTTTAGTTTAAAAAAATTAGGAAGGGTAAAAGTTTATGCACTCGATGCCGCGGGTAAGAGCTAGTTAACTGAACATACCAATTACCGAAAATAAACACTTGTTGACGACTTCCTTTATATAATTAATCTATAATTCCCAACACTGTCAATTCGCTTGAACTGAGAGGCGAGGCGTCCTGAATTGTGTGAAATTGTGGAAATCCTATTCTGGAGATCTGTTTTTAGAAACAAACGATCGGCCCACGTCTCGACGTGCGAGGTTCAGTCAAAATATTGTTTCCAATATTACTGGTATATGTACATACTAATTCTCAGTACGTACTTATTATAACTACATAGTAAAAATCAAAGTCGATGTCCCTATGTATGCTTAAATCTTTAAAATTACGAAACGGATTTAAAAAGCGATTTTTTCGTAAATAGGCAGAGTGATTCAAGAAGTAGGTTTATATATATAATACATGTACACCCGTGCGAAGCCGGGGCGAGTAGGTAGGTTATGACTATACAAACTATCACCCGCGAGTTCGTCTATTTTCTTTGACAACTAAATATCTATTATTAGATACGGAACTGGTACCTAAAATTTAAGTTTCTACTTAGTTTAGGTACCAGGGAACAATTTAAATTGTAAATATTGTATGCAAAATATATATATTTTTTTCTCAGCTTTTGCTTGTTTTCTCGACACTTACACTTATTATTATTATTTATATTTAACCGAGTTGTAACACGAATAAGTAAATTTAATACGTCGATTAAAGCATATTTACGCAGCACAGAGTAACAAAACGATTACTGAAATGATAAGCGTGCATGGCAATAGTTGTTTATGCACGGTATTTTCATTTAATGTTAGACATAGACACCTATATTTGAAAACGATGTTAACATACTGGCGTTTAAAAAAAAGTAATTCAGTTCTCAAATGAATCTGTTAGGCAGCAGAAAAAAAATATGAATACAAAAAACTTGACCTTTATATACGTCGAAAGAGTCACCTTTATTTACCACTAGGTAGCCGACCCGGTATCGCGCGAATGTATATATATTTATACATATAAATAAAATTGGAGTGTCTGTTTATAATATTGAAATAACTGTTTTTTACTACATGCATATGTATACTTGTGGTGCATACACCAAAATAACATTTTTTATCATTTTTGTCTGTCTGTCTGTCGGTCTGTTTGTTCCGGCTGAAATGGCTGGCCCGATTTTGACGGGACTTTTTTTGGCAGGTAGCTGTGTAATAAGGAGTAACTTGACTACTTTTATTTAAAAAAAAAACTTTTATTTTAGAAAAAGACAATAAATTTCCACGCGTAAATTTAATTAATGAAAATCTTTTATTTTAGAAAAAGACAATAAAATTCCACGCGTACTAAGTCGATGGAACAGCTAGTCATACATATAAACCTTTCTCTTAAATCACTCTATCTAGTGCTAAAAACTGCATTAAAATCCGTTGCGCAGTTTAAAAGATTTAAGAGAACAGACAGGGGAAACGACATAAATTTTATACTATACTAGCTACTCGCCCCGGCTTCGCTCGGGTGTATTATATATATAAACCTTATAGAATCATACTAATTAATAAAAAAACCGCTTCAAGATTCGTTGCGTAGTTTTAAAGATAGATAGACAGGGCCGGACAGACAGCGACAGCGACTTTGTTTTATATTATGTAATGATACATAAAGATAAAATTACCAGGTTAACAATATAAATAACTGAACATCTATCCTCCCAAGTGACATATATATCATTACGTCAAATTTTATTAAGATCCTTCAGCCAGTTCGTCGTAAAAATGTAATAAATGGACAGATAGATGGCATGCAGATGCTTTTACATTTATAATACAAGCAATTACCCGAAACTTCGTCTGCCAAACTTACATTTCTTATTTCACCCCCTACTTTAGAATTTATATATAATTTATGTTTAATCTTGGATTGAGTCCTATCTCGTTATAAAAAATCATAAAATCCATTCAGTCGTTTAGTTGTGAAATGGTAGCAAACAACCGTA